GGGCCAGTTCCAAAAGCCTTCAAAGAAATTACAGGAATATGGACTAATAATTATGAATGATGACAATTTCGTTAACTAATCGACTATGCTTATAAATGGTTTGACAGGATCACGGACGGATCTACGGGGGGGAGGAGGGCTTTGCGGCTGAAGCTCCCCCCAAAATGATAAAATATAACCATGTTTAATGGAAAAAAATATTAAAAAACTACCTCTTAAAGTATTATTGTTCGTGTAATTACATTTAAAAGGACTTAAGGAATCACTTAAAGACCATTTCATATAGGTAGTTAGTTTCTTTCTTTATTTCTAAAGTAATTATCGTTATTTTTATGAAAAATGACCTTTCGGGCTTAAGTCCCCCCTCCACAATTAAATCCTGGATCCACTAGTGAACAGGATTAACACGAAGTAAATTATAGAAGAGAAATTAATTAACCAGGGCATGGTTTTGCTGAAAATATGAGGTGTCAGTAATTCGTTTTCATGGATCTTTTTACATAAAAAGTATGTCTATATATATTTTATTTTAACTCTCTGCAAGATCCACTAGGGATAAAAGGAGGCTTTTAGACTGAAGGCCTCCCTCCAAAAAATCATTGGTAGATATTTGTTTCTGTGAGTTATCTGAATTAAATACTTCAACAATCACAACACGTACTCGTTTTAAATTATAACGAAAATACATCTGTTAAATGTGCTTTTTTTTTGCACAATTTTTTATTACAGCGTTCTTTTTTCAAAGACTTCTTTCTATTAAAAAAAAGAAGAAGAATAAGCTTTCCTGCTAAAATGGAATCCTCTATCCACTACTTGGTCTAACTTGAAAATTTTTAATTGTGATTTATTTTCATATAGGTTAAATTTGTTTATGAAATAACATTGTGCTCCTTTAGGTTTTCTAAACGTAATTATAAGATGGATAACAATATTACAAAAATGGTCATTGCTAATAGTATTGCAACAAATTCAAAGCTTCAATTCAAGAGCATATGCCATATTTGCCAACACTGAAAATAAGTAACTAAATTTTTCATATAAATCAACTTTTGACAATACGGATGTTAATATTAATAATTATGTTTTATTAATAATTATTAATATATTATTAATTGTATTTTCTAATACTTAGTTCTAGCATGACGTTAGCTATAATATACTGGGGCAGTGGCCTCCGCAACTAGTTACGTGCAATTCGTACCTTTCTCCTGACGCAATACATCTCCTTCTATCTTTCATTCTTATCTCTATGGCTCCTAGGATCTTTCTTACGCCCCAGTTATTCTTGTTGAGTACCAAGATTTATTGTGGAAAATTAAACAAATCCTTATTATTCATTTTGCTTCCTTACTATTGAATGTTGGAATGCTTTGCGGGAGGTTAAAACGTTTTTATTCTCAGAATTCAAAGTTTGTATATACTTTCAAATCTGGTTTCGTTCCTGTCAGAGTCAAATCCACGTGATCAAAGAATTTTCATGAAATTGTCAGAGATTTTTCCCAGGGCAGTACATATAAAATTGAAATGGAGCAAATTTTTATTACTACTTTCGCTTAGGCACGCAAAAATATATTTGATTAGACATGCCTATTTCGCAAAAAGGGAGTGTACGATTTGTCTAAATGCTGGAAAAAAAGTTAAAGTTTAGTGAAACTGTATCGTTTTCATAAAAATTCACCTATTGATTTTTTGTACATATGCAAAGTTCGATGATTTCTTTAAACACTTAATTACAATTATTTTAAAACCTTCAGATCCTGCATGGACTTCATCATTCTAAAGAATTTAATTATATAATACAATCAATTTATTGTCATTATTTTTTCTTTGGATAGATGAGAGGTAAATCGCATACACTTAAATGAAAATCGATTTTGAATCGTTTTTATTATGTAAATATTCCGAGGTCATGGATTTCCGTGAGTCTTTGCAAGAGACCTATAATCTTGATTTGCGGGTCATGCAACGAGCTCAAAACATTGTTCTTGTGTTTTTTCTTTATAAAAAATATATTTTATAAACGTGACCAAGTATGTCCCGTCTTGATCTCGAAGACTTCATGTAGTTTTACGAATAGAAAAACCTATCTGTAGGAGCCACACATTTAAAAATTTGGAGGACTTTCGCTATATCGAAGGTACGCGGGAAATCTTGATACTATCAAATGAGTTACCTCATTTCCTCACTGACATGCAGACTCATTGCACAAGTAGGTTAATGTAATCTCTTCTTTTCTCACACACGATGCTCTCGCGGAACGTTCGTTTATTAAATAATAAAGGTTTATTCTCATCGCATAGAATATTGAATAACGAGCAAAGGAAAATGCCTGAGTAGTTAAGGGAACCGAACGATTCATTAGATTCGAATTCTCTGTATGCAAAAGTTCAAAACCACTTCATCATAATGAAAATAGGAAGGCTTAACTTAACCTTGTAAGTTGGAGTTTATTCTTCCAATCCTTGTCCAATAGAATTCACCTCTCGTCGTAACTGCTTGATTGGAGAGAAAGTTGGTAACTGTACACTGGGAGTTGGTGAAGTTGTTCCGTGGATAACAAAATTAGCAGACTTAGGAAACTTAATCAGATCGCCTTCAATAAAAATGCAGTTTAAGGGGAAAAACTTAAGAGACGACCGTTTACGGGGTCTGCGTCTAAAAATAATCTTTCGCTATTGAAATGGAAACCAACTTATAATATAGTACACATTGTTGGAAGAATGTAAAATAAATTTAAATGTTACATATAAAATGAAAATGGTATACTTGATATGGTAGCTGTCAAGATTGGTTATGTAAATGGAGAAAGATTTCTGCTTATGCTTAAGTATAATCTCCCTGGCTATGTATTATCTACAAGTTTCTACCTTAAGTTGCTTGCCTATAGATCGTTGTGACTTGTCAAGATTGTATTCATGCAGATATCTGGTGTATGCAGAGTAATATTTGTCATAATTAATAGTAAACTTGTTATTTCTTTCCATTATACTGTAGATAAAACCGGAAAATAGATGATGATCACTGTTTCAGGACGGGTTTCTAAATTTATTATTATTTTTTTAACTAGAAATATGTAAATTTTTTTCTGAATCCATAAATCGTTTTATGGAACATTACGAAATAATCCTTCCAAGTGCTTTAGCCGAACTGTGATGGACATTTAGGAAAAAACAGAAGGAGCTATTGAGAGGCAAAACGATGTCCAGTTAACGCTAAGTGGCAAAAGATGGTCTCACTCAATTAAACGAGATGTTGCTCAATGTCATGACCTGTATCTGCCAGAAATCGCCCAATTCATTTCCTTAATTATCTTTTAGAAATTTTAAAAATTATTTTTAGTGAAAGTGCTGTTATGTTATGTACACTGATGAGAATAGCATTTTCACTGTTCCAACTAGTCTACTCCGACTGTTGTACTGTCTATTTTGGGGTAATGTTTTCCAACTCTCCGCGGAGCTATATGGTAAGTTATGTATATGATATACATAACTTATGTTTCGTGCCCTAATACCTTCAGTGCTCGAAACACGCCCTGATGCTCGGTTTGAAACGTCGGCACCAATAAAAACCTTAAAAATGACTGCATCCTGACTATTTATCAGCTATGATTTATATAACAGTCGACTAGCTTTCTTCAATAATTATATGATATGCAAGTCTAGTAGCGTACCCAAAGAGAGGTGGAGGAGGCAGTCCGCCACAGAAACTTTTAAAGGATCCACACAAGAGAGCTTTTTTTTCTTCAAATTCAACAAGACAACTTTTTTTTCTGTTAGGTATTTCATCCTCACGGATTTATTATTGCATGAACTTTCATTTTCTTCCAAACTAATTCAATGTTGGTAAAGGAAATTTGAATTGGAATGTTATAAAGAATAGATCTGATGATCGGTTGCACGATCGTAGAGGCTGGGGAAAAGTATGCGAGTTGTTATGATTCAGCAGGCCCCGCGACTCACACGTGTCCACTTTCTCTGCACAGCTTAGTCACTTCAACAGGTGTTCCATCCCCTGGCCTTTAGCCAGTTATGTTCATTTTATTGTTATTTTCCATATTTTATTTATTTTTTGTCCAATAGTCTATTAACATTTTACTAATGTGAAAACAATAGAATAATTTTCCTTCCCTTAAATAATAATTTGTACTGGAAATCACTATGGTAAATTATTCATCTTTTGGACTTTTATATCGTGGATATTCTGTCCAGCTATGAACAAATTTTCTTATATTTCGTCAAGTAAGAGATAGAAGCGATCTTTTACTTTTGGAACTTTTTGCGAATATGTCCTCAGCACGTTTCTGCAGTGGTGCCCATCCTCTCCTCCCTCAACCTCAATAACGCAAAAATCTACTTCCTCCATCTCCCTCAACATATTTTATTGCTCAGCTTTTCATAAAAAAACAAAGCATCCGAAATTAGAATTTAAAAAATCGCAGATCATATACAATTACCGTTGCTGTTTTCTCCTTAACCCTAAGTTTGAAACTTTTCATTCTGAAAATTCATAGCCCTGTTGAAATTTGTCTCACTCCAAAATTCAAAAAGCCGTCAAAATATGCTTCCTCAGAGTTTTTGATGGCGCCATGAAACCACTGAACCCTGCGTTTCTGAACCAAATCTAGGCTCCATATTTATCAAATTATTAGAAGTGGAAATTGAGTGGGTTTTGGCACCCAAAACTGGTTTGCAGAGAATATTACTATTTTTTTTTTTAAAGAGTTTGCTATTTTTTTAAATAGTTTTCGTGTTTTTTAAATAATATTTTTGTCCATCATCGTTTTCGGGATATTGCGATTTCTTACTGCATTAATTGAAAATCTATATTATTTCACAACTACTGGGTATCAAAGGATCTAACAATAATCCCAGTTAACTGTGCAGGGTGGCATTGCAAAGCAATTCCTTCCGGCATGCGGATAGTTGAAGAACTGCAAGTTAAAAGGCCGTTCCGTTTCCTCATGCGTGAGTCAGCCCGAGTGGACTGGGATAGGGGGAGTGATGAGAAGGGAGAGAAGGATATCGCTCTTTCCTCCTGGCTGCGAAGGACGTTCTTACAAAGAGCTACCTCTGGCTTACCTTATACCTCCCAAGTATGGTCTTAAACCTTCTATTCCCATCCGGAGGTAATTTTCTGCCTCTTGTGTCCCCCAAGAGGTCCTTACAAAAACATCCGCCACTGTATAAGGAATTAGTAGTGAATGATCATCACGTTCAGTAAGGTTATAGTCAGCGGATGGAATATCGTTCTATTTTTTCTGTACATTAAAGTGTTAATAATTCTCTGAATATTTTTCCAAGGAGATAAATCTGTTCCTTAGAACAAAAAGAACTAATGAGTAATTTTGAAATATGAGTGGATCGCTCTAAAATATATACATTAACTGCTTAAAGAGCTTCCATTAGAGGTAAGACTCATAACAATCAATAGGAGGGCATTGCTAAATCACTTTTCATGGTTTTGGACATTGGTTCTTTTTGATCCAAATTATAGAAACTATCCGCAATATTTTTACAACAGAAAAACATTTTCAAACCAGCCATTGCACTAGACTTACACTTGATACCTTTCTCAGAAAGTTAAAATTGTATATCCAAACGCTAGGTATCGAAGCCGGCTGATGACTAGTAATTTTTCATCTGCCATGAGTTGACCCTGGAGTCGGGAGACCCTCCTGGGGCAAACCCAGCCTCTATGAAGTGGGTACTCTTAATTAAATAATTAATTAGGAGGGAAAACCTGGCCGTTGAGCCTGATATTCCTGATATGCCTGGTATTTCCTCACATTGTACTGAAACCAAGGCCCTTCATGGGTTGCTAGTGGTACAGGTTTTTTTTTCTCCCAATACTATTTTCTTGTACTATTTTATGAAGAGCAGAGCAATAAAAATTTTTGGTAAGGAGGTTTTTTTGTGCGCCGTCGATCTTGGGGGGTATAGCCATCCCTGACGACACGTGCTCTTCAGCAACTAAAAGTAAGCACGTTTCTAGAAGAAAACTAATAATGTCATCCATAAAAGTATTACTATCCCTTTGAATTGCCATTATAAAAAAAAAGAAGAGAAAAAGTCGCCAAAATTCAGTCCTAAATTTGCTACAGCATAAGAACCATCCTCGTTATGCTTAATTCCATATCGCATAGCCGGTGGAACAATGATGAAACTACAAATAATGCAATATTAAAAAAAATAAATAAATATAACTTGTACCACTACAATCCATAACGTGTTTGGGATCAGTACCATTTCGGAAATGTACTCTTTCTTATTCAACGGAGGTGATTTGACTGAGATCACACTCAAACCCCAGGTTTTCTTACTTAATTCAATATTTATTTAAATATACCCACTTTATAGAGAGTGTGCTGATCCCAGGGTACCTCACAGCTGATGAAATAGAATAAATAATTATCTGCCATGAGCGAATCCGAACCCAGGACCTCGAGCATTGGAAGATCAGTGCCATGAGCTACTCCACTTCCTTAGAATATTATAGGAGATAATAATTTATAAATAATAATAATCTAAATAATTAGATTTGTGATTATATAAATTACATAATACAGTATAAACTTCTACCCATATAAATTTTGTATTGATTATACTATGATTTTGATTCGGTTAATTAAGTTTTTTTTGTAATTTAACGACATGAAAAAAATACGTCATTGTCCTACTGGATGAGCGATATATCATAAAGATTGTTTGTAATCTTAACCTGTACTATTTTCACAAAGTGTTGACTCGAACTGTTTCCTTCGTGCCAGTCTATTCTGATACTCCGGCTAAACAACACCAGGTGCTCTGCAGAATAAGCATCCCTTCACAGAACATTTAACATCTGATTCAATTATCCGACCGTCACAGTCGTTAACCTCAACTTACCTCCAAGGATCAGCAATTCAAAATGATTCAAGGAAAGCTGGCGGGGAAGTGGAAAAGCCCCGAGGATTCGGTACGACACTCCCACGGAAAAGAGTTGACTGAACTGAATCGTACCGGAAATTAGCTGCTCTGGAATTGTTGTGTATTAGCTTTGTCCAACATTTGGGAATCCGTTGGCAATTCATCTAATCGACATCCCACTGATTTTCACATTTAATTCTTCGGCCTGTATTATTTAGAACTGTGGATTTATGGATACTGTGGTACTAAATTGATTAAATAACAAGTGCAAATGATTCTTCAAAGTTTTGTTTTTCGCAAAATCACGGATTGGACAATCTTTAGTAAGAAAAATAAATTGTGAATAATCCAAGATTTTTCGAAAAATAGAACTTTGCTTAATGCAACCTCTAAAAAGCATTATTTTAATGACATTAACAATAACAAATTCTATTAGATTTTGAAGAGAATTTTATCTAGTTTTCGATGTTAAAAATTGGAATTACCTAACGTTGAAGTATTTCAGTTACCCTTTTCTTTTAATCGAACAATGTGACAGCTTAAAAAAAATAAATAAACTTCATAAAATTTAAATTAACTCATTACGGAAATGGGCCATAGTTCAAACGAACTTTTTATTTTTATTTTAGTCTATATCTAAGTTGTTTTGACTAGTTTAAGTTTGTTGTATGTACGGTGCGAATGAACTCTTGTATCTTTATTTACTAATGTCCTGAGTGACATAATGTGATATTGTTCAATAACATAGCTCTTCTATTTTTGGGATATCATTTGCATTACATCCTTTATATTAAACATTTATATATAGTTATTGGTAAAAATGATTGGTTGATAGCCATCGATTTTATTGGTAGCGTTTAATCTTACAAACGACCCAGATTGTTTACGAATCCATCCCGTAACCTAATTCATCTTTCGGCTTGTTCTACTTCCCCCCGATGGAGAGGGTCATGCAAGACTCAATCACTTAGGCAATGGCCCCGAAGGCATTGTCGGTTGTTTCTACTTCATTATCCGCACGCAACTTCCTCAAGCTCGTGATCTTCTGGGGATGTAATAATATGTTTTGCAATTATACAATTAGAAAGCTTTATTGTTTTTTATTAAGGTGATCTAAGTAGTTAGGGAATAGCTATAAAGATGGGAATCGTAACTCATGAATATTTAAAAACCAGTTAACACTAAACGTTTGAGTAGCATGATTTAAGATTAGATAAAATTCAATTTTTTTTTTTTAGTAGTTAGGATTCTAGCGTTACTGATAATTTCAACGGTTTTTTTATGTACGACTAGATCCTCAGTAACCTCTAAACCTCTAGTATTTTCTGTATCTGACAAAATCATTCAGATCTTGGCAAAACCGCAACGAATGATCCGACCTTGCGGTCGAACCATATGCTTCTGAAACAACTTAACGACATATTCCCGTTGTCCTTTCCTAAAAGAATCCTCTCCTCTCTTATATTTGAGTAACCAAAGCAAATCTCTCGACATCAGAGAAAACCATCTCTATGCTTTCATCAAATTAGGTTACCAAGGATAAATTGATTTAGCCAAATCTTAGGAAAAGAAAACACGAGACAGTTAGTATACATATTTTTAAAATTATATCTCGCCAAGGCGTAGTTTTAATATAAATTTTCTAAACAGCAAAATAAATAATATCATTTGAGATCGATTAATTCACTCAAAATATAGATAGTTAACGAATTCGATCAACAAGGAAGCTATATAGTATTACTGATCCTGTTACATGCGACTGTATCGGAATACATTTTACTATATTCTGATTTAGGATTAAATTTATCACTTAACGACTCAAACAGCCCCTAACATATCCAGAAAACGTTTTAGGTATATTTTTAGCAATAAATTAATAAACAGTAAATATGATCTGAGTATTGTATATCATCTGAAGAAGTGATAATCAATGTTCAAGGTGGATACCTAAACAAAAAATATATTAAAACTAAAAATATTCTATTAAGATTTTTTTGAGAAATCAAACAAGATCTTATTAGTTCCAAAGCCTGATCACAATGGGCTGTTATATTCACTTCGTGTCAATTTTAATAAGCTGTACAACGTTACCTTCAGCAGAAATAAAGGCTGATAAAGTGGTAGAGAGAAACAACTTGCTTGGCTCAGAGATTTGGATAAACTCCTAACAAACAAATTTCAAGTGGTTGTGTCTTCACTAATAATGGTTCGATTTTAATGATTCTTTTTTCGTTTTATTGCTAGAATAGAACCCTTTTAACAATTTTAATCAACATAAAATTGTCTAAATTTTTGGAGTTATATGAAAATAAAGCCTTTATCCTTTAATCATTTTCTTTAATAATTCCTGCTTTTTCTGGTGGACTCAATCATTGGATTTGATGAAATATTAAATAATCTTTAGTGCATCGGAAGAGAGGGGGGAGGCTTTGAGGAATCTTTTCTTTTTTTTTTTTTTTTTTGCGGCTTTGGGCCGGAAACATTATAAACGTTTTTCTTTCCCATCTTGAAATATTGTTTTGCTTTATGCAATAGAGGAAGTAAAATCAGACCTGCTAACCCTTTTTCGAATCGGTTTAAACAAGAAGCCCACTGTCCGATTGATATAAATTATTGGCGACATTCTTACAAGGGATAGAGTTGTATAACGAATAACTACACCCGGTCAAGTGAAGGGAGCTTTAGTGATCGTCCACGATTCCTTAGTAATGGCTAGGATCCATGCACGATGTGATTAGCAAAGATAATGCTACTTGCTTCTCGGTTGCAATTATCATATATTAACTAGTCAAAATTGTTCGAGGGATTCGTGAGAATTACTTTTGAAACATCGCAGCATTGTGAACATTAGCACCTAAATCAATTTGAAATAATGAAATGTGTTATTTTTTGGTCTAAACAATAGTTAACAACATGTTTGTAGATACATAACAAGATTATATATATATATATATATATATATATATATATATATATATATATATATAATCAGTAAAACTCTCTAAAATTAATCGAAAAAGGTGGTATTATAAGGTGGATATTTTTATGGTAATATTTTGATGTTTTCTGTTTTTCTGATAACATAAAAAAAACTTATATAAAAATAACAAAAACAAGTTGAATAAATAAATGAAGTATTCTTAATTCGAGCTGATTCTCAAATGATATAGCTCTTATGCAACTTTTCATCTTTTTATGATTTCGAGAGCTTTCTTTGTCAACACTACGACTGTTGTTGCTTCTGTTGACATTTTGAATCATTGCTAAATAATGGAAAAGTTTTATGCGACTTTTCTTAATGCGTTTTAAGAAATTCTTAAGTGGAATGGCATATGTAACAAAATTGCGAAATAAGTTTGACTCAATTATTTTTTAATTAGATTAATAAATATACGAAAAATTGGTAATAAACCATATTTTGGAGATTGTATTTTTTATTATTTTTTTTTTATATAAAAACAAACTGCCTCCTCCAATATTACAATTATATTCCGACAAAATATATACTGATCTAATTTTGATAATATTCTGATAATAATTTATCTTTATAGTAAATAAGTTGATCCCAATCCTAAATTGACAACCCCATCCATCAGAGAAATTCATATTAATCTTATCCTTTTATTTTCATGAAAATGTAAATAATTTGTTAACTATTAATAATACAAAATGACCTAACTTAATTTGGATTAACAGTAATGGTTAACCTTAAATATTTATGTATAAAAATATAGTCTTGGTTAAAAAAATTAATATCTGATATCTTTCAATAACTATAATCCTTTAGTGGATTGGAATTTACCGTCGCTTGTAACACGCGCGTAAACCTTACGTAAGATTAGCTTTACTATATGTTGAAATAATGTTTTATGTAGATAGTATATGTGGACATTTTTTGGGGGGGAGGGGAGGAACATTAAAGAAAATATTCCAAGTTTTTTTTTTAGTATGGAGCAGTTTAAATTTGATTTTAATTTATTTAAAATATTTTGTAGAGCTAATTAATTTTCTTCCTGACTTTATTTTATATATATTTCTATTTTAGTCATTATTGTTGATTTATGTTGTATTTTATTTAATCATAATTTAGTTTCGAAGGTTATCAAAACAAATTACTTTTAAAGTAAAATCATATATTATAATCTTTGTTTAAATATTGTTATTGGATCAAATTTTTTATGTGCAGTTTTCAACAGATCTTTTCGTTAACCAATAAAAAAAAAAAAATCTTAATCAGATGGTTTTTAAGTTAGCGCATAGAATTTAACATACTTATTTAAATTATTTTATTTTATTTTATTTGACAAAATTTATAGTGATTTACATTCTTTTTTTAAATAGATAGAAAAGTTATGTGAATATGTAGACATCATATATTTATATAAATAAACGGTGTAGAAATATCTTTTTAATATATGAAGCGTAAATAGAAAATAGGAAGTACTCTGTTTAATTGAAGTAATTACTTTTTTTATGTTTGTTTTGTTTGTGTTCAACGACCTTAAGATGTCTCTTGCTGATAAGTGACGAAAATACTTTAAGCTTTTTAAAACATATTTTTGTTCAATTTTTGGTACGAATTATAATCCTTCATCTAAATTAAACACGAGCAATCACTTGGATCTATTAAATTAAACATTCTTTTTATCTGTGCTTATCTCAAAAAGTACATAAGTTGATTATTTTTTTTTTACAGTACTTTAAAGCTCCTGATCAAAACCTAAACGCTGCAATTTATTTATTTATTTTATTTTATGGATTCAAACAATTATCTTCTCGGTTGGCTTTCATAATTCATCGCGTATTATTTTGTTATTTTTTCTTCCTGCGTCCTTTAGTCAAACATTTTTCATCATAAATATATCCACTATTGAAGTTTTAATTTAATTTAATAAATTAGTTTCAAGTTATTACTTGAAAGCTTAGTGATGAAGGGAATTTAATAAACATTATATGTTTTATACTCAGTAGGTCTCTGTATTAATTAAAGGGTTAAAAAAAGGGTAGTTAAAAGGTTAGTTAAAAAAAGGGTAGAATTGTTCAATTACCGTCTAGTTGAAATCGTTATTCTCATGCAATTAATCCAAATTATCATAAAGTATTACGTAGTTACATAAGGTAAATTATTACATGACAATTTCACGAAACCTAACATATGCTATCACTACTAAGAATACAGTTCTTTATTTATTGTTTTTTTATGTTTTTATTGCATAAAACCTAATAGGAATACTATAGTCCTTGTTTCTTTGTTTTTCATTTCAAATATATATATATATATATTTATATCATAAAGACGTTTGAGGAGGGTATATTTTGGTACAAGAACGTGTCTTGGCTATCATCCAAACTGTCGAACTTGAACAGTTTCTCTTCTTTTTTTGTTTAACTCATAAAATAGTTTGTTTAATATTGTGCAATAATACATAATAATTTATGAAAACAATTTTTATTAATACTGCAGATTTTAAAAGAAAATGTCGCTGCTACAAATAAATAAACATATTGTTATATCTTTCTTCGTTAACGATGTATTTTTAATCAAAAATATTTAAAAGGGGCAGTTAATATAGTGAGAAAACTGTGATAGCGAAGAGAAGTAATTAATAAGATAAAATATTATGAAGAAAAATGTTACGAAATAATAAAGAGATCCTAAAATAATAAAAATATCCTTTGAGCGTACGAGTGGAATATAACGGGACTAACTTCGCAGCCTTGTTTGACGTACTTTCATCTTTCACCAAACTTAGTTTATTTTGTCAATATAAATCACAAAGGATTTGAAGAATTGTAGTTAATAATTAATAATAATTACTATTAAAAGGAATGATATATGTGAATAACGTTTAACGTTTATCTTTAATTTTTTTTTCCATTTATTTTCTAAATTAAGCTATATATTATAGTAACAGAACTACTCATATTTAAAAAAAATCTTTTTAAACGTATGAGTATTTATCATTTTGTATTAGTTTAAAGCGAATACTAATTTATTATTTTTATTCTAAACTAAATCTGTTCTATATTAAACCTATCTAGTTTATTGAAGAAAACTTCAATGACCGAACATTAGTAAAGAAAAAAAACAAAGTCGTATGTCAGTTTATGGTTGTATTATTTCATACAATAATTTATTTTTTCTGTTTTTTATTCACAAAGTATATTATTCATAAAGAATATGACAGATAGGACTTGTAATACCCACTTAATTGCAATTGATGTGGATTTTGTGATAATCTAAAATATCTTAAATACATTTCTTTTTTAATGCAACTATTACTTATAATTAATATTTATTATTTATACACGATTATTCAATAAATCCCTTTTTTTTCGAACGTTTCATATCAGAGATTATTCATAAGCATATTCTTTTTTAGACATCTTGAAGATATATCAGGGTTACCAACCTGTGGCGATATTAAGCAAATTCAGATAGAAGATTATGTGTTAGACCTAATATGCTTTTTATGTTTTATCTAAATCATTGTGCATAATGTTATGTCTGCTGTCATGATTTTATGAAGTTTTTTAAATTTAAAGTTCTTAATATATAAAATATTTTTTGCTACATACATTTGACTTATGTATTACTTATGTATTCTCGATAATTATTATGGTATTTTTTATAACTCGCATAATTATAATTGTAACTATCGGAAAATATCACATTTAAGAACAATGGAACGGAAATCTTTTACTTGATGATTCATCGTGAATAGAGGACTCAAAATTAATGGTACGAATTGCGAATTTTGTCACTATTGTTGCCGCTATTTTATTATCGTCTTTAAGTGATATAATGTGAAAGAATTCACTTCAAGGACAAACCTGGTGTGATTTCCGTGAGATAAATTTTAGATGATAATATTTACTTGATGAGGCTATGTTATTTTTGTGACTTTACAACCTATATCGAAAACTGTACATCACTATGTTGGTACATTTGACTAACTAGTTAAAAAATAATGTAAAAATAGGGATACAGAAAATGTTAAAAAAAAAAAACATATTTTTATAGAACTTGGTCGATAATTTTCAGCCAAAATCTAAGATAATTTAGAAGTATATTTTTAAAATTTTAGTATCATATCTCAAATCGGATTACCAAGATCCAAGGCCCTGGGGCGGAAATGTTTTGAATTTATTTTTATGACTTCGATCGTTTCTATCTGGACGTAAGGTCATTACTATCCATTCCATAACACAACCTCCTCAAAACAGTAATCTTGAATTACATAGAATTATTAATTACGCTGTTGAGAAAGTCATTACAAGGAATATTAAGGCAAAGTCAAACTGTTGAAGCATCAAACAAGTTAGATTCACAACTTTTTCTATTTATTGATCTTTTCAATTAATCCACACCTCTAATTTTATTGTATTAGTTATTTTAACTAAATAATTGATAAGGGGTGTACACATGAATGCTATATAAACATACGGTGTTCCGTCCCCTAACAAAAATTTGAAACTCCAATTTTCTTATTTATTTAAAAACTACTTAAAACCAATTTTCACTACTACGTTCTAAGCTATAAAGAAGGCAGATCGACTTGTTAATATCAATAGTGAGCTGCTTACAGATTTTTGTATATTATTATTATTATTTCTTTATTTTTGTAATACTTTAGGATTCAGATTGTTTTGGTTGTTAATTGACGCCTCATATAAAAATATTGTTTATAGTGCATTAAACACCTTCCTCAGATCTTTAGTTAATCATAAAAAAAAAAAAAACACGTATAGGGATATAAATCTTCAATTATATTTTTAGCCTTTTTCTACTATAATCTTGCATAAACGTTGAAACTTTAGATTAATGTACCATCTAACCATGTTGATGTTAAAATATTTTCAGCTGTATTGCTTACGATACCATGGTATATGTATCATTAATAAATATATATATATATATTATATACCATTTATACCATTAATATCATCATCATTAATCAATAATATAATCATTAATATTAATTAGTCTTGAAGTTTTTTTTTTAATTTTCTTCGTTTCTTCTTGTAATAAAGAACATATTATAAAAATGAGTGGACCAAAACACTGGCAAGCAAAGGAAGTTTTGGTAGACTAATTGCTCATCACTAACGATTTCCCATATCCGACTGTGACATAAGATTTCAGTTCTCATGGATTATCTTATGAGAATTAATTACACTCCAGTATTTCACGAAACTCGGCGACTTACGCAACCCTAGTTACACGAGTGTTGAACGAACATAGTAGTTACTGGGCGCACTTTCTATCCCTTGTTTTCGTGTTTCCAGGCAGGACATTGGCTAGGTCGGGGATTTAAAGATAGACGGAGTGCATTTAACTCTGCCTACTTGACGTTCCATAGCACTTGTTATTATTTTATATTAGTGTAACTAATGGATATAAGTCATATTATTTTTAATTCAATCTATGATTATTAGCTTATTTTTATCAATCAAATATCTCCAAGTTTTATTTAATTATAGAAGGGCACTATGAATTCGTTTAATACCACGAAGATGTATAAAATAAAAGTAGCTCGATGAGAAAAGTGAAAGGGTGTCATAACGATGTTATATTGTGACTTATATGTTTTGGCATTCATTTAAGAAACCGATTCCTTTCAGCTTCTGTAAGTAATCCACCAATGTGTCACTAACTCCAGTTTATTGGCCAATGATATGTCAGCTAAAAGTTAGTATTATTCTAGTTTTGATTGTCATTCCATCAGCTTATTTTCATCCTGTTTTGGACACTCGTGTAATGACTTTTACACATTTGTGTTTTGTTAGTTCGATTTTATTAACGAATTCCTGACACGACCAGCAGGTAAGACGGAAGCAAGCATGGACTTTAGGTTGAAGCGGAACACAACCAGGACTTACCTAAGTTGTTGTTGTCCTTTGCTTCGTCACATCGGCTGACGACGCGGATAACAGCCCTCCCTGCCAACCTGGTGCAGATCATCTTGGCGACATTGTCATTCATCACTGTGTTGGTGATGTCGGCACCGAACTGCGATGATGGTGGCCTCATCTTCGTTTTCTTCTGTTCCTCCGGCAAGATACGAAAAATAAGAGTATGAAGAGCGGCAGTTGCGCGGCCTGGGTATTCCCAATATATAATGTATTATATAATAAGAATAGTAAACCTCGCGAGCGCTGAGAGAGGACTGGAAGCTGCCCCACTCCCGAAGGTGCTTATATAGCCTCGCGAGCGGCGGGACTGGGGCAGGAGTGCGCAGCCCCACCGCGGATCTTCTGCGTCGCGGCGATCGCTGTTATTTCTGGAGATCGATAGGTCTCTTCCGCTACGCACATCTTCCTCTTCAGCGGCCGCCCGTCAAGAACTACTTTGTTCTGTGGGAGATACGTCAGAACGTTATAACATCAGATCTACCCTTATTTATTCTATCTATGCTCATGCATCCACTTTCTTAAAGTATTTACGAATAAACTCAATACAGCTAAAACACTTCCACAGATTCTCATCAACATTTTTGTCGGTTTCTATGATGTTTGAATATACTTCAAAAGATAATCTTGATTGTATCATGTAAAAAATAACAAACCTGTAATCGTATTACCAACTGACGTCTGAAAAACGTTTTTGTTATTATTTCGGTTTTGTACAATAATTGTATTCCGAATTAAACAATATTCTCTCGCCATTGTTTCAAATCATTCCTGTTCTCTTTGACATCTATTTATTTGATCCCTGCCTATGCCAATATGGCAATACGGTAATTGGCAACAGTGCAGCAACCACTGATGCCAATATCATTCATAGTTTCTTGCAATCTTCTAATTCTGTGTATTAGACCCACTATTACGCTTCCCGTAGATGCGATGGTTTATCAGGTGCATGGTATCGTCTTCTTCGCGTTCCGAGATTAAATTGGACAGACCCCACTGCTACTTTCCAACACACACACATATATATATATATATATATATATATATATATATATATATATATATATATATATATATCCTCACTTACAAATCGAGAAAACTCATTTTGAGTGAGGATATATATATCCTCACTTACAAATCGAGAAAACTCAATTTGAGTGAGGATATATATATACATATATATATATATCCTTACTTACAAATCGAGAAAACTTAATTTGAGTGAGAACATAGATTCCCGCGGCTGTCATCAATATGACCCTTTATGCCTCATATGCGGTGCCTTCTCTGACGTTTATCTAGATCTCTCTTGGTTGTTATTTCTTCTTTTTATACTCCGGTTTGTATAGGAAAATTTTTTTTGGTAGTCTATCATCTCTCCTGCTTTTTACATGAACATATCATATAATACCAGAAGTGCCACAGATTCTACTTTAAAAACCTTATTCAAGAGCTAATATTGTTGGGACAGATTGATATTTTATTGTCCAGGTTTCGGCATCACACACGCCACACCAATTATTCAAAAAAATAAATAAAATATTCATTATTTTATGATTGAGATTACTGAGGCCTATAATTTGTTTACATTTCAATATTTTTACATGCGCTCCCTTCTTTTATCCTTATTTACGAATATAGAAATGTTTTCGGGTTTCTCTGGTATTGAAAATAATAATGTCAAAAAATTCCATTTTCGCGCTTGTTGATCTCTCTTTCAAATATGAGGTCTCACCAGTAGTTCTTACAGTTCCTGATATCAATGACCTCAAGACATAATTTTTTTTTCTGGCAAAGATAGAAATCTCTATTTAGTTAGTTGTTCTTGGAACGTTGGATGAGCCTTCTTTTGACTCTAGATGACTGAATTAGAAATTTCTGACTTGTTAGTTTTTTTCTTCTAAAATGAGAGATACAAGGATTTTTATTTAAATCTGTAAATAATATTTATAGCCTCTTCTTTTAAGTTATTGCTCCTAGCTATTTTTTATTTATCCATAATTGAATCTTTAATTAATGTATGATGGCAATGTAATGATGTTCATGTTGCTATAAGTTATATTTTAGAATTTTGAAGTTGTAATCGAACTGTAGGGAACATATCAAAACATAAATATTCACAATAACACACGACTTTTTTTTTCTGTCCTCCACTTCCTCGGCTTTAAACCTATACGGGCCAGGAGGTGAGGGCGGGGGATTAATACCTGAGTTGAAAGTCGTCCGGCACCGGGACGCGAATCCGTAATTAATACGGGTTGTTAAACACTCAACAATTTTTCCATTAATATCTCAGACGACCAACAGTTCTATCCATCAACTTAGTACAAATTAACGTTATGAAATTAATCATTATTCATCCCGATAACTTTATACACTCGTTTTTGTTGCCATGATGCTATTTCTTCCTGATCATATGCCCTTCCTTCTGATATTATTCAAAAATCTTTAAATCCAAGAGAAGTACATTGATTCCATACTTCCCACAGCATTCCGGAGACTACAGATTTGTTAATAAAAATAACAAAAAGCAACACTAGATGTTATCTGAGCATGAATTTCAATAGGTGTTTGGTGAACCCTCAACTGTCTGTGGAAGCCAATATTCAGAGGACTATAAACTTTTTTTTTTCGTACGCATATATTACGATAATTTTCTCGGAAGAAAGAAAGAAACTAAGTACTTACATGAAATGTAGTGTTGCCCAAATGCAAGACCGAGAAGAGTCTTGGTCTTGCAAACTCAGTCTTGGTAATGGTCTTGGTCTTGCTCTTAGTTACTTATTACCTTATTACTATAGAGATATTACTGTATTTTTTTAGATATGAGAAACCTAACTAAGCCCGAATGAAAAATTAGAGGAATTAAATGCAAAAGTATATTGGTTATACCAATTATTAACGTATAGTAACTAAGATTGTCAAGTATTAGTAACTATTTTGCCTTAATTTTTATTTAAAAAAATTTTTTTTTTTTTTAACATTCCTGCTCTTGGTCTTGCAAAGTGCAAGACCGAGACCGATTTTGAGCAAAACGAATGAAATGGTGTTTAAGTGATTAACTCCTATTAAATATAATTAGACAAACAATAATACTTTTAGAGATAATTTTTTTCAGAAAATGTGGTTATAATTTATCATTTTCGGGAGGGGGAGGGGGAGGGTTTAGCCCGAAAAAAATCTTTCAATGTATTCTCTTTAACATCTACATGCATGCCCTATAAGAATCCATACTCTTCTCAAAACATAATCCTAAACACGTCCTTATTCTATGGTAATTTTTAATTATTATTATTTTTTTTTCTTAATATGAATGAGCCATTAAATTATATTTAAATTATTTTGTTTCTTATTTACTTAGTTATATTAACTAACATAAAATTAAACTTATAGGACCCTGGAAAACCTGACGAAGAAACTTCAATATCGGAGACAAGGAACTTCGTTGCAGAGCTCATGATGAGTCGTCACACTAACTTTTACAGCCCTTACTATCCGAAAGGATATTATGCGTAAGTAATAACTTAAGAATAAAATTATGTTAGTTAATACTATCGGAACAAGGATTGTACATACCTTCAAAGTAGTTAAACACCAAATATTGGATATACGCTCACTATACCTCAAACTTTACTGAGGTGGTATAATATCTTGAGTGTTTTTTTAGGTTTTTAAAGAAACTATAAACTCTGGTATTACGTTTTTCAGCCCTTATGATGTCTGAATTGTCTAGTTATTTGCTACGATTTGAGGGCTCGAGCCATTGTTTTGGAATCTTAACATAATGAAGTAATTCCAGCATGTCTAATGTTTTGTTTTTGTGGAATTTTTGTGTGTGTTTTTTTTCTTTTTTTCATAGAGCAGGACAATCCACTACAGAACCAAGAGCTCCATCAGCAGGTAAGTGATCTTTTCATTGAATGATGATCTCCGACCTCAAATCACTTATTTTTTACTGTGTTGAAATAGTTTAAACCTGTCGTCAATTAGGATTAAGAACAGTTATTTAATATGCAAGTATGTTCAACCGATCAAGCAACATCGTCTAAAAATACTTATATAAAATATAAAAGTCTCCTACCGATGTCTGAATTGTCTAGTTATATGCTACGATTTGATGCCGTTGTTTTGGAATTTTAACATAATAACACAATTCCAGTATCTCTAATGTTTTGTTTTTTGGAATCTTTGTGTTTCTTTTTATACTAGATCTGAGAAATCAATCACCTATTGAACCAAGAGCTTCAGTAAGTATTTATTAAGCTTAATTAAATAAAAAAGTCTCCAAATGATGCCTGAATTTGACTGTTACTTGCTACTATTTGGGAGATTCGATCTATTGTTTTCGAATCTTAAAATAATAACCAAATTACAGTATGATTATTTTTCTTCTTCTTAATTTGTTGATATAAGTAGTACAATATGCAAATACACTTCAATTAGTTGATTCGCAAAACGCGCCTATGGATTTAAATATCTTAGAATCTAAAATTTGGACCCGCATACTGTAAGCAAGGGGAATGGCCATCATTTCATCCGCTTTGTAATGAGCTATTATTCAAAATTGTATCTTAACACGGCCAAGAGACAATTTTCTTAAAACGCTCCTAAATTTTGAACTTTTTGATGGGTTCAATTTCCTCTAAAACCTTAAATTGACCTATCTGATCTGGCAGACGAGCATTTTCGTAATACCTTAAAGGAATACCATCACCCGGTTGATAATTTGCTTAAAATACTGTGGCTTTTTGGAATCCGGCTCCAGGTCTGCTTGCAATAGTTGAATGACAGCAGTTGAATCATGCAACGATGAAATTCTATTGAAAACCAAGATCTTGTCATAGGAACCTAACTATTATTTAAAAAAAAAATAATAAAACTACATTTCAGATTGATTGAACATATAATTATTTAACCATTAACCGATTAATCATTTATCAACCAAGGTAAAATTTCAACAAAAAAATTAAGCCAAACATCTTTATCGTGACTTGATATATTTTCGTTCTTCCTCAATTCCTTAAAATACTCCTCTAGGATCGCCAGGGTCGTTATAAGCTATTATTAATTTAGAACTATTTATTTAGGATCAGTTAGGCCTCCCGATCTAACAACTGCTTGATTATTCCACATGTAACTTTAAACTTTAAGTTGTTTATTCTATTAAGACAGGAACCAGAATATGGTTTATAGCTGTTCTGTAGGCTTTGTGTAGGTTCTCACAAAATAATATAATGTTTAATTCTAGATTCAAGAATACCAATTATGAATTATTTATTATTATCATATTGAAGTATGAGAAGCACTTCGTCAGACTTCTGTGCATTTTGTTAAAATAAGTAATGAACATATTAGCAAGGTAATAAGGCAGAAGGATAATGAGGGACGACAGCTCCTTTAGGCTGCTTTTGTTTTGTTTTTTGTGTGTTTTTTTTTCATATCAGTTGCCAGCTCGCAGGTATCCAGGGTATCAGAACTCCTCTTGTTCCTGTTTAAAGAATGGACTATTAAGATTTCAGTACTAATTACTCGAATCTTAAAAATGAAATCCTTTAGAATTATACTCTGAATAGCTTCTATTTCAACATTTTTTATTTATAAAGTCTAAATAAAATGTATTCATTATAATTTATCCAAATTATTAACGACTTTAAGACATGTTAGTCGGATTAAGCTTGGTCAGTCCAAGTATTAAAAAGAGGAGTTTTAAGTAATTAATCCACTTGAACAAATAATGATTGTTGATAAAAAAGTTGTCTTGCTAAAAATATTACTATTAATTATATAGACTTAAAAATATTTTATCGTTTACTTCCAACGAACACTGTTCGCTGACTTGGACTAACATTAAACAGAAATATAAACTAGAGACCATACGTAAAAATTAAACATAAACTCATAAACCACCGACTTGAATTACTGTACTATTTTTTTTTTCCAACTCTTTAAAACTGAAAATTATACTGATACTGAATATATACAAATGCGAACATAACAACAGACAGATAAACGAAATAGCTGTGGCTGACATGCCTTTAAGGTGAAACTGGATAAGGAACGTTTATTGAATTAACGTACTAAATCAAAATCAATGAGGGATACTTCCTTCTCCATGCCTGGACCATTAGCGGGTTCAGGATTTAATTTTAAGGGGGAGGGGGCTTCAGCCCGAAAAATTTTGTTTTCATATACATATAACGATAAATGAAATAATTTGAAAAAAAAAAAGAAAGAAATTAACTACCTATATGAAATGGTGTTTAAATGGTTCTTGAAGTCCTATTAAATGTAATTAAACTAACAAGAATACTTTAACAGATATTTTTTTCTGTAAAACATAATTATATTTTACCATTTTTTTGGGGGGAGAGGCTTCAGCCCGAAAGTCTCCTCCCCGTTAATCCAGTGGCTGCCATTATCATTTTTTCAGCACATTCGCTTGTTGTCAGTTCTGGGACTGGTACGAATTAGGGATGACTATCGATAATCGATATTATCGAAATATCGATACTTTTCTTCCGAAATTTGATATCTTGCCATTGATAGTATTTACTACGATATTATTAACTATCAATATCGTACCTTCGAGGTTTTAATTTAAAAATTGAAATTAAAAATCTAATTTTCGAAAAAACGCTAGAATTAGATAAGAAAAAAATTATAATCATCCTGCATGTTTCATGTACATTGCAGTGTATAGCATAGGAAAACATAGATATTTCGATAATATCGACTATTGATGGCAATCCCTAAATAGTTGAATATCGCGCGTGGGACACTTCTCACACAGATTTGTAAGAACTTTCTCAAACCCAGGGCACGAATTTTCAAAGAAATCTATGTAGGATGCAAATAAATTAGCATTTCTTCGAATCCGATCTATGGGTGAATGGAAGGCATAATTGGTTGGATGGGAATCTCTGAGAAAAGCAGAGGATGACGAATATGGACAGGAACTAGAAAATTAATTTTACTTCGGAAGTTAGACGAATTTATTTTTCCATTAATTAATTAAAGAGGAAAATAACATTCTTTTTTATGCTACTTTGTGTTAGAGAATAAATATTTATATTCATATTTAATGTTTATAATATCGATGAACATATCTACTATAGATATTTCAAGTCTTATATTTCGATTGTATCGGTTGTTATATGCCGATATTAATATCGTTATCCCATCCCTAGTGCGATTAGAGAAATGATGGAAAAAAAAATCTTCGTGTCATTGTTATGTCTGTTTCTTTCAGTTATTATTGTATGCTCCCCTGAATATAAACAAATTAATTTTAATAATCCTATTTCTACTGTATCTGTGTATGATATATTTATCTAGTTAATAGCAAATTGGACTGAATATAGTCACTAATTGAAAGCAATGTTAGGACAGCATGGCGCAGTTACTTTGGGTCCTCGCCAACCCCGTGTACTAGCAGCAGAATCTAATAATACCATTGCTTACTAGAATAAGAAATATTTCTGATTTATGATTAAATTACATTATTTTACGTTGTTCATCTTCGGAAAAATTATAAGCCGGTGCTTAACTGATTATGCTGGAAATAATGAGATCTCATAGTAGCTATCTAGTTAAGGTACAACTGGAGTAACTTATCATTTATTCCCTTCAGTCCATTGACACAGTCGTATTAATTATCAACATTACTTAATATGTTGTATAATGTGCCAATTACGCAACTGAACATCTAAATATTCATTAACTCTTATGATTGAACATAGTAGATGTGGCTAATTAGTAAACGAGCTAACCTTACTTTACAAGTTGAAAAATATTTTTTGAAAAGTTTAAGTGCCTATTTAAGTCCGTGGTACAGATCCCTTTTAATCAAATTATCAACACCTGCCTGAATATTTTTGTAAGCCATATTTTGTCTCGATTTTTTGATCAAATTATCTTAGGATCCAATTGTAAAGCAAATGGGTGTATACGAGTTTCTAGTACCTAATTTAAAAGACAACGTTTTCCGATTGCCAGAATTAAATTAAAATCCTATTTTAAGAGTTTTCGTAAAGAAATTAGAACAGAAATTGTAATTTACGTTGAGATAAGGTTATTCACGAAGTTTCAGGACGATGTTAATAATTTGATAAAAAGAGGTCTGTATCGCGGACTACATGTATTGGACCACAGTTGCCAGTTCTCGCGAGTCTCCTTTTTTTTTTTTTTTTGTTGATGTGTGAGATGTGTTATATTTGGTTCGTGTATCTCTGTTTTGATGTTGCTAGGATTGGAAAAAATTAGCTGCTATGTTGTTTACGAGTATTTTTGAGATTCAGGGATTTTTGTTTATATTCTCCTTATTATACCTTTAAATCTCTGCCAAGTAAGGTCAGTTTTCATTTGCAACGCAATTATCTATATTTCAAAGTCTATAAAATTTATTTTATTTTGTTTTTAATTATCTATTTGTTTCTGTATTCTTCCCAGCAATATTTTGTA